TTCTTGATACAATTGCCTAATAAAAATATTAATTTTACCATTCCCACATTAATGCTGGAATCTTTTAAAACTTCATATACCACTGCCTACTTTTTAAGTAATCATTGCTAATTTTAATTCTACATATATTTTAAACTTTCCAATACATTAGTAGCATCATCTTGTATAATTAACTTTTAGTTATATTTATCCACTCTTAATTCTTTCCCACATTTTCCTGTTTCGTTTTCCTTCTGCCAAAAGAACTCTCCTTAATATTTTTAAAGCAGGCTTATTGGGAATTAATTCTCTCAGGTTTTATTGAAAACCTCTTAGTGATCTTTAGTTTTGAAGAATATGAGTATTGAGTATGGCATTCTAGGTTTGCAGAGTTTTTTCTTACAACATTTCAGAGATGTCATTTCTTTATCTTCTAGCTTTTTTTCTTAATAAATGAGCTGAAAGTCTAATTGTCCCTTCTTTGAAGTGTCATTTCCCTCTTACTGCTTTTAAAATTCTCTTATATGTAGGTTTTAATAGAATTACTATGATTTGCTAGATTGTATTTCTTTATATTTGTACTGATTTGGGTTCTCTCTGCTTCTTAAGTCTGTGATTTGATAACTTTTCATCATTTTATTTTAGAGTCATTATCTCTTACAAACAGTAGATACAATCAGGTTTCATTTCTTTCCTTCCAGGATTCCAGTTCCCTGGGTCTTTTCTTTTTGAGACTCCAGTCACATGTGTATTAGATATTTTAACTGTGTTTTGAAACTATTGGTGTTTCACACATACTGAAGCCCTTTTCTGATTTATTTTCTCAGTACTTTAGTTTGAATATTTCCTATTGAGTCATTTTACATTTCACCAAACCTGTCTTACTCTGTGTCTAATTTCCTGGTAAATTGAACCATTGAATTTCTATCCCTACCCCCCAATATTATATTTTTCAGTTCTGGAAGGTCACTTTGATTATTTTTAGTCTCAAATTCTCTGTTGATATTTTTCATAATTTTACCAGATTTGTCCCCATTTTACTGTTTTTCCTTGAGCAATTAATCAAAGCTATTTTAAGTTCTGATAATTCCAATGTCTATATCACCTGACTGAATGTCATCTATTAGATATAAAAAGGAAACTGTAGAGTCATATTTTTCATCACAGGATATCTTAATCTCACCAAAAAAGGGTTTGCCCTTTCCATTGCTATAAAACTAGAATGTAAAATTTATCACTGTCATATAATCAATGACTACACACACTCAGGCTGGGATCCAATTTTTTTTTTTTAAGTCCAGATTTTTCTTTTCATCATATTATGGTGGTACTAATGTTGTTAAGGTCACATTTATTGCCCTTGCCTCCCCTCCCCCCTCAAGTCAGAGCTTCAAGCGTGTTCATCCCCCAGGTGGTGTGCATTGCACTCATTATTGGGATCCAATTTTGATAAGACTTGGTCTACCTATGATTTGTATCTGCTCCTATGGTATGGGTTTCAATAAGTTTTTAATTATAAATTTAGTAGATCTTTTTCTCTTCAGTACTAAGGATATTGAAATTTCCACTCTGCTTTTCAAAGTTATTTTTCTTAGTTCTTTAGGCTTTTGCTCTACACATCTTCAGAACATAACAAATTCTTGAGATGGAAATTGGCTGTATTTGAGGTCTCTTGAGTCTCCATTTTGTCACTCTAACCACAGAACTGCAAACTGTGATTGTTTATCTGTGCCCCAGCAGCAGCTCACTGTCTTAACCAAGCTCGTAGTCTCAGCCTTTAATTCATACCTAGAATCAGCAAATTTCCCCAGAGAAAAAGACAGATCTTCAGTCTACCTCTGAATTTACCTCTGTTTTCTCTGGAATGTCAGTCTCTCTAAGTCTCATTGCTTCAGTAGCTCGCTAAAACCCTAAAAAGACATTTTTATAGTTTATCTGGCTTTTTTAGTTGCCATGAATACTTCATCCTGTCCTAAAGCAGAAGTCTTGATATCCATATTGCCTTTATTTAGAGAACTCCTAAAAGTATATAATTAAACTTTACATCTTTCCTATGCTACAGATGTGTTTTCCTTTTTTTTTAATAGAGAACTTTTTATTGCATCCTTAAAATAGTACAAATATGTTTTAGGAATCATTTAGCATCTTGTTTTTGTAACTGAACAATTCTTAAATCTTATTCATCAGCCTGTTGAACTATTCCTTTTTTAGAGATGTTAATATACCCCAAACTTTTCTGATATCCTTGTTTTTAACTGCTATGGCTTGCTGAATCAAAGCAGGTGGATTTGATATTTAATACAAGTTCAATGTCATTTTCTTCAAGAATTAACTCATCTTTCTGAGCTCAAGATACTGAACAAGTAATGTCTGGCCTCATCTGAATCATGTATTTTTCACCCAAGACATTTAGAATTTCAACAAGAGACTATTCTCCTGAATAACAATGTTGATGGAGAAGTAAGCACACACAGCCCTCATTTTGTAATGGAAACACAGTGTCACACCCTTGATCATGTTCTGTATATGACTACAAATACTGCGAATAGTAGCCAGCTCCTTTCTATTCCCCCTTTTGCTAACCTGGTAACTCTTCTTTTTCTTTTCAAGATCACTGAGTTCTACACTGATGTGATTGAAATTCCTCCACAGGGCTCCTCTGGGCCCTTTGCAATAACTGTGCATCCTTCAGAGTGATGTCCCCATTTTCTGGAACATCAATAATCTGATTGCTGAGGATGGTCTTCATTCTCACAGTAGTTGCAACAAAGAGAGCTACAGATTTGTTTTCCTAACTGCCTCTAGAACATTTCTATTTTAATGTGTTCAAATAGAACTCATCCCTTTCTTCTCCTATATCTACAATGGCTCCATCAGACTCCCATCTGTCCACCATGTTGGGGATGAGGAATGGTTGCGATATTAAGCAGGGGGCTCCCGGAAGTTCTCACTGAGAAGATAACCATGGAACAAAGATCTGACAGTGAGAAGGAGCAAGCCTTCTCTTGAAATGTCTGTGGGAAGACAAGCAGGAATAGCAAGTTCAATGACGCTAATGGAGCAGTGTGTCTGACGTTTTTCTATAATGACAAAGAGATCAATATAGCTGGGGCTGAATGAGCAAGGAGAGAGTAATGGGGTGTACATTCAGACCAGGGCTAATGTATGTATTGTCTCTGACTGTTTTTTCTCTTTCAACACTTCACATCTAATAAATATTATGTCCTACAGGTTTTACCAATGACATATTCCTCCCATAAAAGCCTCATTTATAATCATGTTAAAACCACCATAATTTATAATGTATTGCCTATAAGTAATCACAAATTAGAAACTTATTCTCCTAGTCTTGGAACTCCCTAGTCCAAGTAAGTTCCAAATAAAATACTCTCCTCTGCCACCACTGCTATCTCAGTCACAGGACAAGACTTTAAAGATTCCTAACTCTGGATTTTTCCATTATCATGCATGAACATGCCAATTGAAGAGGAGAAAATGGCCTAGTTTTCTATGACTTGTATTTAGAATGTTTGAATGAGTAACTACTCTATGTCATTCCTACCACAATATAAGAAAAATCTGAGAATTTTGGAATTAGTTGTAGATCTATTCAAAATTCAGACGGATTTTGTGGGTATAAGACTGTGCTAGCAAGTAAATAAAATGTTCAACTTCCTATTGTTGGGAAAAATCTAAAATAAAATAATCAATTGTCCTCGTGATTTCTTGGCAAGAATTTCACCAAAACAGCAGTGCTCTGCTCTTGCAGACAACTGCTATCTAGAGAGCACTTTGCATTTCATTGCTGTCCATTCTTTTCCCACATACATCATGCTGACGCAAACTGCTTTCATAAAGTAGATAAACATGATTATTGCTTTTCTAGAAAAGGAGCAATTTTTAAGACATACAAAAATATAAGTACATATTGCCCATATAGCCATAGACTTCCTGATTCTTTTACCAACACAATAAAAACTAGTTCTCTATGCTCCTGTGGGAAACCATCTGTTGTTTTCTACTAAATGAAATAACATCAATTTGCCTTTCCAGCCATTGCCCCAATCGTCTGCCTCTAATGTGGTACATTTGAGAATCTTATCATTCCCTCTGCTCACAAAGAAATAAAGTTCCAAATGCTTAATAAATAATGCAAAATTATTTGGAACAAAAAAAATCATGGAACCCAAAAAATATGTATGAAAATAACATTACTACAAATCTCATTTCTGGGAGAAATTTTAGAAAACTTTAATTTTTGAGAGGCAAAACATTGTTTCTTATGGTTAACATTGAAGTTTTTTCTTTGGAGCAAGAAAATGGAAACTACTATAATGAAGGAGGAAAAAGAGAAAGATGAAAAAGGACAGTGGATACATTTGCATACCACTTACCCTAGATGTTGCATTCTAAAATATTTGAAATATATTTTAATAAATGAAACATATTATGACAGGGGTTAAAAAAGGGAAATTGGATATTTACTAGATTAAGTACAATAAATTTCCTCCCATGTTTAGAATAATCTATGGTTGACACAAAGTAAACAAATCTATGCAATCATAAAAACACTTTTCAACATCTGTTTTCCCTTGAATTACTAGAATTAACACCTACATTTGTGTATGCATTGAAAATATGTCAAAAAACTGTCACAGTTGTTATTATAGATGTTACAGGTGTATAAAATGTAGAATATAGCATTCTAATATAAGTTACATTCTAAAAGTTGCATAAGAGCCATGCAAATGACTTGTTAATTCATTTACTTGTTTAGAATCTCAAAAAAAACTTCTTTTTTTGAATTTAAAGAAAGGGTAAATTTAATTTTGTAGGCGAACTTTAACTTTTATGATTTGAAAGTCTGCCCAAATCTTAAACAAATGCTTTCAAAAGCACTTTATACACTTAGTCTTGGCTTATGGAAAGGATATATAAAAATAGTCTGTAAAAATGTCTCAATTAAAAGTTTGCTCCTATTCTGAATTTGTTTTACTTTATGGCCACATGTGAAACTCAAGACCATCAATGAGGAAGGAGCTGCTCTATGTATATGGAGAGACAATATAATACACCAAAGTCTGCGTTAAGGCCTGGATGATACAGGAAGAGAGAAAGCAAAGCAGATTCATGGGCATTTGTATACTTCATAGAGTAGCTGATTGGGGGCAGTTTTATGAAGAAGCAGAATCACCAGGAGAATTTTCAACAAGAGTTAGGATGTCATTGGGCAGAAAGAAGTTGAAAAAATGGTTCCAAGCAAGAATGAAAAAGGATGGTGTTATGTAGGGAAAATGGAAAGCATTTGTGAGAAGATGACAAGATCTTGAGAGATGATGTTTTCTCTCTTTTTTCCATATTTATTTAATGTTGAATTGAAAGAACATGTTAAAAGTAAGTCTCTCTGAAACTACTCCATTTACAAATAAGTACAAACAAGCATTCTTAAAGCTTTCAACACTTAAGATTTCCTGAACCTAAATCTCTTACAATCAACACGTCTGAAATTCAGAAAGCCCTGAAAGCTGAATTTTTATTGATCATTCATTTGGCTACAAAACCTGACCTGGCCTGAACTAACACAAAGCTACTGCAGAATCTTTCTTTATGCCACTCTGTGAGACTATTCATGTGTTTGGCTGCAGAAATATTAATGTGTTAGACTGGAGTCGCCCCGCAGATCCTGCTGGAGGGAGTTGGAAGATGGAGTTGGAGGATGAAGTTGGCCGGTGTATTATAATAAATGTACAGATATAAACTTTTGAAAGTTTGAAGTTTTTTTAAGTTTGAAACACATTTGGTTCTATGGGCTTCAGATAAAGATTGTGGACCTGTTAGAATCAGCTTTCATCTTTTCTTTTCTAGTTAAAAATTACCACTTTAAAACTGGCTGAGTCCAAATTTGAATACAAAAGTTAACTGGACATCTGACTAATTCTTATTGTATGGTTTATTCTCATTTCCTCCATTTCAACATTTATAACTATTTTTTAAAGGATTGTTGTGTGCCACATTTAGAGTAAAAATATTTCTTCCTCAATATCAACTCATAAATGGTCAGTATCTGGTTGGTGCTTTGCATGGAGTATGCTGTCGAGACTTGCTGAATTAATCAAAAAATGACTGATTATTAAAGTCCTATCTTGTTCATGCATTGCTGATTTATGTTTATTTTTAAAATGGTAGTTTTTGTGCATGCTTATCATGATTTCTTTCCTCCTCCTATTTATGCAATTCCTCTTTTATTCCAAAGTATGTCACTCTAAACCTGTCCTTGCTAAACTTTATTTCTGATGACTCCTCTTTTTTAAAGTTGTTTTGAATTCTAAGCGTAAGTCCCAGGATAGTAACAATTGCTCTTAGCTTAGGGTCATCTGCAAATCTAATCTGGGCTTTTATACACTTGTTTACTTTCTAAATGAATTACCAAAAAGGGCATAAACTGATACAGCATAGAAAAATTTGAAATATTCAAAAATACTTATTTTATACCTGATTTTGCCACTTTCATTCTGCAGAGAATACACTACATAGATTCTCAAAATTGATAATATTTGCTATTTTTAGCAATGACATCAACATTTTAATTATGTTCCATTGCAACTGAATAATAAACACAGTTCCTTTCCTGAAGAAGCTTATAGTTTATTGAGGAGGCAAACATATGAATAATAATTTCAATACAGGTTTTCAAGTAAAGTAACATGAGATGTTGAAGGCACAGTGTTTTGGGATAGTTTAAAAAGAGGACACTCAAACAGAACATGATTGAACTGATCAGGGAGTGGGAGAAAGAAAGATGTTTTGGGGATATGAAATAATGATAAAGGTACTAGTGACAAAAGAAACTAAGGGGTACACAAACACAGAGAGATGTGAGGGGGAACTTTCAACCAACCAGTGCAACAGGGTTAAATACAGGCTATTGGCTAAATCAAAAAGAGACATTTGGGCCAGGTGTGGTGGCTCATGCCTGTAATCCTAACACTCTGGGAGGCCGAGGCGGGCAGGCCGTTTGAACTCAGGAGTTCGAGACCAGGCTGAGCAAGAGCAAGCCCCCTTCTTTACTAAAAATAGAAAGAAATTAGTTGGACAACTAAAATATATATAGAAAATATTAGCCGGGCATGGTGGCACATGCCTGTAGTCCCAGCCACTCGGGAGGCTGAGGCAGAAGGATTACTTGAGCCAAGGAGTTCAAGGTTGCTGTGAGATACGCTGATGCTATGGCACTCTATCCTGGGTAACAGAGTGAGACTTTGTCTAAGAAAGAGAGAGAGAGAGAGAGAGAGAGAGAGAGAGAGAGAGAGAGAGAAGAGAGAGAGAGAGAGAAAGAGAAAGAAAGAAAGAAAGAAAGAAAGAAAGAAAGAAAGAAAGAAAGAAAGAAAGAAAGAAAGAAAGAAAGAAAGAAAGAAAGAAAGAGAAAAGAACATTTGGATCGTGGTAGGACTTTGGGCTTCGTCTGAAGGCACTGAGGCACATTGATATGGAAACTTTGCATTGTAGAAGGTATTTCTGGCTATATAACTGAGGATAGATGGAGGGCTCAAGGACTGAATTTGGGGTAGGGTAGTTTCTGTAGTCAGTGAGAAACACAGATGGCTGAACTTAGGTGATTAATGAGAACAAAGCCGAGAAGAGGCAGGGAATGATGAGGAAGTCAGAAATTCACCTAGGTGTAGTGTATTGGTAGTTTAAAAATCAATCATGGTGTGCATATCTTTATCACAGAAATTAGTAAGCACAAAAATTGGCTTTTCCCACCCAGAGGCCCCTTTGTTAAAGATTTACCAGTATACTACTGAGAATATATTTGAAATAGAAATTATATTCTATATTTCTTCAATTTGTGAAATCAGTCATATATTACATTAGTAGCATCGAGACCAAGCCTATGAAGTTATTTTGAATATTGGAATATTTTACAAAACCATCCCTTCTCTCTATGTTTCAAGGAGGGAGAGAGGAATAATTTGGGTTTTAGGTTATCACATGACTGAAAACACTGTTGAAAAGTCTTTGGCAAGTCTCTGGAGTTTCACGCAGCTTCTGGGTTGCCAGGTGTGTTTATAATGGTTCAGAGAGGAGTTTAGAGTTGCATTTGCATACTGAATTTTTGAACTTTATAATATGAACAAGCAAAAGAAATACATATAAAGAAGAAGTTATATTTAAGATTGTAGTCTGACATAATTGTCCTAGTAATAGAAAATGAAGGTTAATACCATAATTCAAGTGGATTTGGGAGAGGAGTACATATAAGTTAAAATTATTGACATATTGTTCTACAGAAAGCTACTTATAAATCAATATATTAACAATGTGAGCCTGGTCCTATTGTTATGAACAGAAATAATTTCTTTTAGTGTCTATCTCTAATCATAAATGTATTTGTGATAGATTAGCTGATGTAATTTATTTGAAGTTTATTATATAAACGGTCACAGACATGAGACTTTGATATTAAAAATCACGTTTGTAAAATGCATAAAGACCTTTTTCTTCCATTTTCCATATCAGATATATTGAATTTCTACATACTATAGCTGCCCTTCCTTTCCTTTCCTTCCCTCCTTCCTTTATTTTTCTCTGCCTTCTTTCCTCATTTTTTGTTTCTTTATTAGATCTTAAATTGAAATTTTGAGTTGATAACTTACTAATGAAGATCCCTGGAGTTGCTCAATGCACAGTCTTCACAATGGTGTGCTTCTGAAGTAATTTCTGGAAGAAAATTTATGTATTCATGATCTATTGAGTCACTCAAGACTACAGATGATGTTTTGGTTTAGTCTGATAGCAAATTTAAATGAATTACAGATCAATTATATTTTACCTTCATTATAAATATATTGTTAGTAACTATATGTTATTATCAGAAAATAAGTTAGCAAATGTAATACTTTAAAACCATTGCATTTGTGTGTGTGTGTGAGAGAGAGAGAAAGAGGAAGGAAGGAAGGAAGGAAGGAAGGAAGGAAGGAAGGAAGGAAGGAAGGGAGGGAGGGAGGGAGGAAAAAAGAAAGGAAAAGAAGAAAGAGAAAAATGATGCTAACATTGATCAGATTGACAAAAAGAATTGATCTTGCACTGGTCTAGCGTAGTCTTCTTCATTTCGTCCCTGTTATTCTAAGTCCCCTGGAGGTAGGTGGCATAAACGAGTGGTGCAGCCTTGGACTCCTCCACCTACCAAGCCTATTAAGTTATTTTGAATATTGGAGTCTTTTATAAAAACCATCCCTTCTCTCTGTTTTTCAAGAAGAGAGAGAGGAAAAATTTTGGTTTGTGGTTATCACATGACTGCATTAAGCAACTCCAAGGAACTTAATTCACATCTATAATTATTATAGATATCTATTAAGACAATTTTCTGGACATTGGTGGTAAATTACCTTAAGAAAGGGCAGCCCTTTCTAATTTGCACAAAGATATCATGTGAACTAGAGTGAGGTCTATGGATAACGGGGAGGAGTGTGTATCTTCTGTGGGGGCAGCTACTACTCAATAGCAATCAGCTGTTTTCATGGAAAAATGCCATTCTATGGTTGAAGAACATGGATTTTTCTCAAAAGAAGCTAGAAATACAGCATTTTATATAAAACCTAATTTTAAAAGACTTGCTCAATTGTACACATAAACAAAGCAAACATGCCTATGGGCTGGATGGAGTCCATGAGCCTTTGTTCACAGACCTCTGCTCTTGATTCTCACTAAGTCCTTGGCCTGGGTAAGTAGTGCTTTTCACTTCAGGTATCTGTATTTTGTGAATCCCCATAATGCAATAAATTTCCCTCTTTCTTCTGAAAAATTTTTGTTTAAGCTCCATTGTGTTGTTTTCTCTGTAGTTTTAATATCTCGTTCTGGTTCACTCACTTCCATTCCCCTTTCACGTCGAAAAGTTCTTCTGGAATGGGTTGCCACTTGATTCTAAAAATTAGTCTTCTCTCCATTTTACCCAGCATGACATCACTTCCTGTGATATCAGGAAGTGACAGTCCTCCTATTTAGTCCTCCTTAAATAACTCTTTCTCTATACCCTCTGCACTAACCTTACATGTTACTGTTGAACAAGTGCAGGAGCAATACTGCCTCAAATATTGTGCAAAATTCACTAAAATGGGTTGAACCGTCAAACAGTTGTAAAGTAGATGGGAAATTTTTTCAAATGTGTTTTCCCAAAACCATTAAAGATTATATAGGCTGTGGCATTTTATCAATGATCAGCTGTATTAAGGTGATCACTGCCCTGAGAACTGAGAATAGAAGAATTAGCACCTTTTCTTAATAAAGTAAAAATCTGAAGGAAGATGCAAGAATGACCTCATCATTCCATTCAATGTTATCAAGTCCACATGATATACATAAAACAGGCAGCTCTACTGGTTATTTGCAATCCTTCACATGCTTCATAATTTTCCAGTCCATCTTTTTTATTGCTTGTCATACTGAGAATTAGTTTCACCTAAACTATTTCTCGTAACCAGTTTGAAAGGTAGCCTATTGAAAGGTAGCACTACAATTTCAGATTACTTTGCTATGAACAGAATATAAAAGTTGGCATTTAGAACCATCTTTAATTGTTTATTCCACTAGAATGTAGCTAGAGTGAAGGAGGTGTTGACCAACAAAACAGGATATTTTTAAACAAGGTTTAGAAGAATATACTGGTTGTAGAAAAAAGAAATAGTGATTTAATAGTGTTTTTTTCTACAAATAATAAATAGTATTTTAAATAATTTTATTTTCTGGGAGTTTTTAAATAATTCTAAACTAAAGTAATTCTAAATATTTGATCTTTTGATAGTTTTTTAAAAAGTATCCTCACAGATTTTTTAAACCTTGAAAGACCAAACATGACCATAGAAATGTATA